AAAATCTGCCATCACCATGAAATTAGGGCTTAGTGATGCAGGCGTACTGAGAGACGTATTTGCAGAATACATCGTGGGTATGTTTTCAGAACAAAATGAGAGGTGTTAGATTTATTTTCTCATTTTTGGAGGCATTTTCAAACATCTACTGAAGAACAGACAGTAGAGACAGAGAGGAAATGAGGGGAGAGACACAAGGAATAACTTGCTACAAATATCTCCAGCCCAACGCAAACCCCAAAGACTGTGGTTCATGGTCAGCGCCTTAAACCCAGAGAGCACCACGACACCCAGAGTGGTGCTGGTGTTAGCATTACTAGATTTATTAACATTTTTTCTTAGCTCTTGTTTCATTTCCAAACACTACTGCATCACACAACGGCTGTGCGAGAACCTGACGCTTTCTCCGCGGCACAAACAATGAAATTGATCAAAAAAACAATATAAAATGAAACATCTGCAATTTGGTGGGCATTCTGTTCACCTTACAGGTCACTCTGGAATTGAACCAGCTATATTTCAAGTATGGCTTTTCATTAAAGAAAGACAAGAGAAACTTAACAGGTGTGAAAGTGAAATTGAGTGCGCTAAGCTTACATGTTCCCACACTGGACCCCTGTCAGAGAATATGGCGTGCATGCACAGGTGTGTTTCAACCCTATAGATCCCATGTCAGATTCCAACCACATTCCCACATCTATCAGTGAGTGGAGTCTTTGGTGGTGGGAAGTGGGAATGTCATGCCTGTTTGGGAAAGTTTGGGAACGACTTGCCTTGTAGGATTTGCAAGGCTGGGCAGGTCTAGGCATTCCTGACAGTGTGTGGAGTGGAGAGAGGACTGTGTGTGTGTTCTCACCCCTCAGCGGGTGTCACAGAACACCTGACTCCACTGCAGAGGGAATGAAAACAGTCCCCTGTGTGTGTGTGTGTGTTTGTTCGTTCACCTCAAGGTTGTGACTGATTTTAAATTCACTGGAATCACTCTGGATTCAAAAAGCATCTTACAAAGGTGGCCACTACTTTCATTTTCAGCCTGGCTAAGCTTAAGCGTTTAAGACCAAACCTAAAAATGGAGGCAACCTCTTTATGCACACTATGATCTTCTTCCACATAAACTGTTTTACAAGCTGCTCACAAACAAACACCACAACTCTGAAACACTAAAAACACTTGACCAAAAGGCAAGTAGCTATCACTATATCCATACAGTACAAAAGTATTTACTTTTGATAGTTTTTAACATTTTGGACATGCTTGCCTCATCTTTAAGGTCTTCCAGGGGCTTGTACCTCCCACACTGAGTGTGTTCTTAATGCAGAAGGAAAGTAACGGCAGGGCAACGAGGGCAACAACCAGAGGGGACTGTGTTGTACAATACAGACGTAACAAGTTTGGACAGTCTTCTCAGTCAGAGCCACCCACTACCAGCATAGTCTTCCTACTGGATTAAGAGAGAGCACTAATTATCTAACCTCTAAAGCTAAAGATTGCTTAAAGCAAACCAAATTAGCAACCAGACACTGCATTTACATACTCTCATTGTCTTTACATATATCTGCTACTTTTGTAATGTATTTATGTATTGTACTGCGGTGCTTGGTGAAGCGTCGTATTGCTATCATTAGGTCACTAATTTGTACCTGCCCAGGGACTACAGATGAAAACCCTGGCACATTTACACTGAGGTGGAAACTGAAATGCCGATTAATGTGCACTGTCCCTGGTAGATAAACATAAATGTGTCCCTCTATGTCTGGCTTCACGTGTATGTACAGGCTATATGCTTAGTGAAACTCCTGCATGTACTCGTTTGTCTATTTGAATACACCATACAGTATGTATCCTGTTCTCTCCTGGGTAAAAGTCAATGAGGGGGTGTGTATGTGCATTTCCTCAGGGCGATAACTGAGTCTGAGTCATCCAAACCAAACACACACAGATTGACTGACCACTATCAGTCTTGCGTCACTCATTTATGGGCCTTTACAGCCTGAGTTCCCTGTCGGTAGGCAGCACGTCCATATGAAGACAGGAAACAAAAGGGATTGTGTGCAGGTGTAAGAGTTTAAATAAATGGGGTTAATGTTTGATGGGTGTTGCTGGGGCCGCAAACATTCAATTAGATTCTGTATGTAGAAGCCAAGGCTATCTGGCAGCAGGATGTAGACAGAAGGATGAGATTTCTCAGGGCCAGAGGGCAAAGCACCGCCAACTGAATCCTGTCATTACACAGCCAGAATCAGAAATATGGCTAATTTATGGGTCATAAGGTCAGGGTATCTATAAGTTACAAAAGCTCTCATCTAAACACTTTTAAGCCCTTGAAATTTCACATGAAATTGTATTTTAGATCGAAATCAAAAACGTCAAATGTTAAGTTAAAGAAAACACTGCCAGAAAAACAGTAAATCGGCCCCATTATAAAAAAAAACATCAAAGAGGTAAGATTACTGTGGCCAGTTCCAATACTGACAGACTTTAGTGTTGAGTCTCTAGAATCAAATGTATTTTTTGTTTAATATGATGTCTCAGATCTGCATTGTTCTGTCTTGCTTTATTTACACTCATTTATGTAAAATTCTTTAAAAAAAACTGTATTAGGCATGAACAGAATGACGAGACTCCACTGGAAAAAATCTGTCTTGTTTCCCCCAAAAAATCTTGTAGGTGCAGTTGAGACTGACTGACTTGATAAGACCAATCTTTTTTGTAGTCTAAGTATATTTTAAAACTTATGTTTTCACAAATCCTATTTTAAATTACTCCGAATTGGTACATCTAAGACATTTTTCAGGTTTTAATTTGTTGGTTTCAATTAGAGTACAGTGGTGTGAGTGTAAATTATGCTTGCCATTGTGTGCGTCTTTGTGGTGACAGGAGCTATGATTATGTGTGTGTCCTACGGAGAGTTCAGAAATGGCAGCATGCCTTGCGTGCTGCTCTGTGAATACAGACTTTGCTTAGCAAGCAGAGTTTTGCTGAGTAAGACCAAAGCTGGAGACGACTCAACCCTCATTGTGCTGCCTGTTAAAAGGAGCATTCAACAAGCAGACAGGTAAAAATTAGTGGATATGTCGGGCCCACCCCTTTCCAAGTCTTTCAAAACTTACCAACAGTGCAGAAATAGTACATGTGCACAGTGTTATGGTACAAAGACTGCATTCAGTGCATACCTTAATGCTTTTTTACCAATGTAACCGAGATAAACTCCTGTGCATTTATAGATTCTGAATCTATTTTGCAAATACACATTCACACACAGGCAAGAAACACAAGTTTCCCACAGGTCATAGTTGGGGGAAAGGAGAAGATTGGTCATCTGCGTTAACAGCCTCACCACAAAGAGTTTATGGCTTGAATCCTGCACCAGCAGGGAAAAATTAGGCAAAAAATTCTTATCTACAGCACTCACAACAACCAGCAGTTTGCCTCGATCACAACCTGACGATTAATCGAGATCAACACATCCATGGAAACACCGGACAATAAGCACAGGTCTGCTCAGGTCACTGGTGGCACAGTCCAAGACATGACTAATAGTCGACAACTAGAGGGGTAGTTAGTAGTGCCAAAAACAAGGAAATCTTCTCCATCTGTCTCTGGTTACTATTAACGCCAGGCTCAAACTGAGACCAGAGCTGAACTGGTGGTCTGACTCATAGAGGCCTCATTCCACCCAAACACACAACAAAAGCGCACACCAGGCATTTGCATATCATGTGCTCTGGTCTGGTTCATGACCTCTGAAAACACATGGATTTTTACAAATTAGGATTCATTTACTTTAAACATCTGTACTTCAATATCTTTATAACAAGACTGAAAATATATCTCCAAAAGATTCATCTATTCTCATTACTGCCTAAAACCATAACACTAACACAACTTTAGATGCAACAGATAAAAGGTGGCCAGCAGTGTGTGTCAATCATTTTAAGTGTGGATATCTGATTTTGGAGCCAGATTTTTAACAAGTATGCAGGACCACCTGAGGCTTTAGGGCACTGTGGATAGCATTTTCCAAACTAAAGTGACTAAAGGCATTTTACCAAGTTCAGTGAGATGCCATTTGGTAAAACCAAAAGGGGGTGTAATTGTAATGTATGCATTGTTACATTCCAACAGTCACCATGCAATGGTGTGTATGTGTGTCATAGAGAAAGTCTGATGGAGAGAGAAAGAGGCAGAGCAAGTCCAGGCTTGCCTTTTAGGCATGTGGGCTTTCTGCAAATTGTGCTGCGTTTAATCAGCAGGGTTGTGTTAACAGAGAGCTGGGCTGGTGGCTTGACCTGACAGGCAGAGAGCCAGCACACTGCTGCAGACCCACAGACAGAGACACTCACACCGATTCAAGACCCCAAATATGTAGTAAGATAGATATGTAGTAATATGATGAGGGATGTCATCACAAACAGGTATGTCCAGTGATTGTGTTTGGTCTCATGGGGCCAGCAATTCATGCAGGGATGAACATGGTGGGTTTAACATGAATGTAAGTGGAAACCATAAAATTAACTTAAGTTTCAAATCTTTACACCTACCCAGCACTGTGTGAGACAAGTGCATACCAGTGCAGCCAACCCTGTTTGCAATGTGGCTGCATTAATGCTTATAACATGAACAGCATCAGTCAATCTGTTTTAAGAAGAAGCTTCAAAAGCAAACTGCCAGCTGACATCTGAGTAATTTTAACTTGTCTGCACTGTATCAGTTTGATGCTTCAACTGAACCAACACTGCTATATCACATTGGTCACGATCATTTCCTTTAGCACTACTGCCACCTACTGACAGCTTCAATATTTCCTGTAAAGGAACCATTTACTAAACATATCCAAAGTTTACTGGGGTCTAGTAGTTTGGGTAATTAAAATCACTTGCATGATCCCTACAACAACCAACGGCACAAGCTGATAGTGACAAAGCTTCTCCTTAAACTTGTGTTTCTATTCAACTTATGAACAGTCATAATTTTCTGCTGTAAGTCTTTGTGTGTCTTACTGAGATCCTCGGCCAGCTGGACTCGGCGTCCAGTGATGAGGTGGGTCTTCTTCTCCATGTCCTCCCCGAAGTCATCCAGCACCTCCTTCACATTTTTCTCCAGTCGGCGCACTGAGAAGACAAATTGAGGAACAAACACACACACAGAGCACAACAATCAATATTCAATCAATGCATCAGATTTTTCTCTTCGTGTATCCATTGAATTATACGATCAGCACCTTTTGACATCATTAAAATGGTCACGATGAATTGTCTATTCTCAATAGAGGTGGTTTTGAGCATACTCGTGATAAGACCAATTTCACAGAATTTTACTGAATGGTCATCAATGACTGGTTATGAACAGCTACCCAGCTGCTGCAGTCAAACATATTTGTACTCCTTCAGAAAAAGCTAAATTGTACGTTTGGTGTAATGAGCCAAAATGAGCCATAATTTGCACTTTTTTTCTTTAAATAATATACGCCATATACTGTATCCATATTCCTTACCCTCAGTATTGGTGAGCTGCTGTCGGAGAGTGTTGGCTGTGATGACCAGCATCCTCTGGATCCTCCAGAACAGTACCACATCATTGCACTCCAACTGGAATAAAAACCAAGCACACATTTTAGCTTTTCACACATTGAGCTTAAATATAGCTGAGAATAAGGTGGAGAAGAAAAACAACTCAGTATTACTCATCCTCTATCCTTACCTCAGAGTCAACAAAGTGTCTCTGGTAGTAGTAGAAACCTCTCTTACAGAGGTTACAGTGAGACAGCGCCTTCTGCAAGAAGTGTCGTCGATACAGCTGATGCCACGTGTCCTTGATCTGACCAGGTAAGAAAGTTAGTAAGTCAGTGGTCAATGGATGGTAGACATAATGACATCAGGCACAAACACTGTGTGCATGTTACAGCTGATTGACAAAGATGATTCAAACTGGCACTAAAATTTTGATGCATTTCAGACATCAACATATTTGTCCTGACTTTGATTTAAATGCTGAGACACACAGGTGTTTTAATCTCACCAGCACAGGGTCAACTTCAACTCCTCGCGCCTCCAGATTCTTCCGAACTGTGGTGACCTCGTCATTGGCCAAGTAGGCTGTATGCTCATCGTGTAACTTCAGCAAGCGCTCCAGCTCATTTTTCGTTTCATTACGAATGTGCTACAAAGTCAAAGAAAAGGAGGTGAGCGCTGTTCTCATGGTGGCAAATGGGTGCTTAGATGAAGATGACTATTTAATGTTCTGTGTGCTTCAACCAAGCTCTTAAACTTCCAAGTACTGGACATGGAGATCAGCAAAAATGGGGAATCCAGTTTTAAGTTTTTGTGGTCTCTCTAGAAAAAGAGCACAGTTATACCCAGGAATTAGGAGAGACGCCTCAAACTGACCTGATCTGGTGTGCGATTGATCCAGTTGAACCACCTCTGCCTCCAGCCTGGACCCACCATATCTCTGATTACTGACTCAGCTATAAGAAGAGAGATGAATGAAACAGAAAGACAAGTAGAAAAGACATGTAAACATGTTCTAATAGCAACCCACAATACAAGTATGAGCCTAAAATTAGCATAAAAGGTCCTCTTTAAGACTGGAAGGTGAGTCTAGTACTGGGTAAGTGACATTGTATGAGGCCAACGTACTGTCTTTGAGGCGTGACTGCAGGGTTTCCTCCATGAACTGTATTGCTGCATCCCACTGAGGCTTGTCTGTGATGGAGCGGTCTTCTAGGGCATTGTGTTGGATCACCCTCTGACACAACAGACAGACAGACAGACAGACAGACACACACACACACACAAACACACACACACACACACACGGCAAGAAGACAAAGTCAGTGGAGCTGCAAAGCAATTGCTATGCATATAAAGTCTTGTGCATTTTCATCAGTGTTAGCAAGATCAGTACACATGATCTAATGTTTTATTCTTCAGGAAGTGTTAAATCAACTAGTGCATGTGCTCTCTGTTCACAGGCTGGATTTATGGTGTGTTTACCAGGCTGTCCATGGCCCTCTCATTCCACTTGTGCCTCTTGATGCTCTCGTCCTTCACAGCCTCCTTCAACTTGTCAAAAATGTCGTCCTGGTCTTTGCCTTTGTATTCAGCCATGAAGCGGGCAAACTCTTCCTGCAGCGTCTCCCAGGCAACCTGATGGGAGGCCAAGTATAGTGGGGAAGGAGGAGGCTCATATTACCACAAGGACATTGCCTGCTAGAATTTCTTCTTCTTTTTTTTTTTTAACATATCTGCAGCCTGCGGCAAAGTAGTTCAACCAAATATAAGTGGTTATGAACAATGATCATTATTTAGGAACAAGCTCATAAACAATTTATATTTAGAAATTTCCTCATACCAGTGAGGGTCAACTTATAAAATCTAATTTACCCAAAGTTTGATTTGATTTTATGTGATCGTTCAACACCTCCTACTGTTAACTTATAAAGCTCTAAATGGTCAAGCTCCGTCATATCTTAGAGAGCTCATAGTGCCTTATTATCCCACCAGAACACTGCGCTCTGAGAACGCAGGGTTACTCGTGGTCCCTAAAGTCTCCAAAAGTAGATCAGGAGCCAGAGCCTTCAGCTATCAGGCTCCTCTCCTGTGGAATCATCTTCCTGTTACGGTCCGGGAGGCAGACACCGTCTCCACATTTAAGACTAGACTTAAGACTTTCCTCTTTGACAAAGCTTATAGTTAGGGCTGGCTCAGGCTTGCCCTGTACCAGCCCCTAGTTAGGCTGACTTAGGCCTAGTCTGCTGGAGGACCCCCTATAATACACCGGGCGCTCGCTCTCTCTCTCTCTGTGTCATACAGATTACTGTTAATTTATTATGCTGATCTGTTCTGTACAACATCTATTGCACGTCTGTCCGTCCTGGAAGAGGGATCCCTCCTCAGTTGCTCTTCCTGAGGTTTCTACTGTTTTTTTCCCCCGTTAAAGGGTTTTTTTGGGGGGAGTTTTTCCTCATCCGCTGTGAGGGTCCAAAGGACAGAGGGATGTTGTATGCTGTAAAGCCCTGTGAGGCAAATTGTGATTTGTGATATTGGGCTTTATAAATAAAACTGATTGACTGATTGATTGACCTCCCTTTTAACAATGTGAATGACATCATGACCAGCTGTATAAAGACCGTGTGCGTTACCTCCAGTGCTTTGTGTGGAAGCTGCTTGTCGGTCCACTGCTTGAGCTTGATGTCGACGGTGGTGTTAAAGGTGCCCGAGTCCATTGTTTGGGCAGCAGGCAGGTAGATGTTCTCAATCACATGGGTGGAAACACGTTCCCACAGCTTCTTCTGCAAGATGGACTCCCTGGGAGAGAAAAAAAGATAAGTTAAGTTATTTAGTTCTGACTTCTAGTAGCATGTTAGGTCACTTCAACCATACTGCAGCATGTAACTTTCAAGTAAGAGTGTGTGTAACAGAGTTGCTTCCAGGTGTCCATCTCAGTTTAGGTAAGTGACCCGGTGGGGTATGAGAACAATAAGTGAAGAGGGATTGTTCTTGGCTGAGCTGCTTTCACTTGTGTAGTCGGTGCTGCAGCAATTGCACTTGACTGTAGATTCCAATACAGCTCCAGTCTGACACTGTTAGCAGCTAACAGCCTCCACACTCTCGCTCTATCTCTCCAGGGCAGTGTGACAATAGAACAAAACCCTACCCAAGTCCCCCTGAGATCCGACCGGTGTTGTGCCTCTCTCATTTATCATAAACACACGCTCATATTTCATTAGGCTCCCCTTTTGTTCAGGCTAGCACTCCTCACTGTCAATAAGCGCTATCTCCAATAGTGCTGGCTGGCTGCTGGCTGGCTAACAGGGCCACCCCTGTTCCCGTCCGTGGGCCATTCATCAGAGTATTGATCCGGGTGTACTGACGGCACGCTCACTGGGGACGGCCACAACACCATGCATACATCTCATTTAGCAATGTTTTCCTCACAGGGGGTGAGGTATAACTATACATGCATGCACAGATAAATGCGCCAAGAGACAGACCTGCAGTTTGCCAAAAAAATAATTTCCCTCTCATGTCTGGTTGAGTGCCGCAGCAGTGCAAATACATGATGTAACTGCCTTTAGCCAAAGGCCGGGTAGACAATTTTACACAATTCATTTCTCATAAGATGGCATCTCATTAAGACCAATATCCTACATAGAGTGGAGAAAACATTAATGCTAACAATAGTAAAATGAGGATCTACATTTTGTTTTTTAAAGATATTTTTTGGGCTTTTTAGCCTTTAATGTATAGGACAGATAAGTGTGAAGGGGGGAGAGAGAGGGAGTGACATGCAGCAAAGGGCCACAGGCTGGAGTTGAACCCGGGCCGCTGCGCCAGCAGCCTTGTACATGGGGCTCCTGCTCTACCACTAAGCCACCGACGCCCCAGGATCTACATTTACAAAACTGAAGCACTGTGCATTTAGAGAACTGGATCAGATCTGCACTTAAAATAAAATAAGAGCTATCAACCAAAAAAACATAAAAAAGCACACTGATAAGTCATTGATACGTTTTAGTAGTAAAAAAGGTTTACCTACAGTTTATAACATCTGTGCTGCTGATGGTGTCTAAATTAATTTATTTTATATTAAAATAAAAAATCTGCTTGGACCTAAGTTTCTGTGTTATTGAAAATTTTATTTTATTTAATTAACCCATATTAATCCAGGTAAGTTCCCTGGAAATCAACCATCTCTTTTACAAGAGAGACACGGCCAAGACAGCAGCATACAAAAGTTCATGTCAAAGAACATGTCAAAATACTACAACACCTACAAACAATTTACCTGTATTTAAAGTTAACACTGACAGCAGCCTTGATTTTTTCTTATACATAGTAAGAGCAACTAATGAACCAAAGTTATTAACTTGTTAACTTACCAGTGTTGTGGGGTCACTTGACTCAAACTAATGACTTCATCCAAGATTTCATTTTTGGCCTTTTCGTAGAGTTCATTCTGAGAGAGAGAGAGAGAGAGAGAGAGAGAGAGAGAGAGAGAAAAGGAAATCAGTTTTGTTACTACAACTCTTTCGAAAATTAAATGGTGTCCAACTGTTGTTTGAAGGCCCTGTATTTCCAAACAGGCCCTTCAATGAGGTACCACTTTTCTTTCCTCCATATCCTTTTGAAATGAGTCAATGATATGCAAAAATTGCCATTCCTACTAAGTCGCAATGCATAGCACAATCGTAATATCCGGCAACATAATCGCAGTATGACTTTTTTTGCATATCGTTCAGCCCTAGTACACAGGATCAATGTTTATCCATAGGAATCAGTAGTCTCATGTCTCATACAAAAATGTATTTATCTGAGAAACTACAAGGAGCACAGTCACATAATTGGTATCTGTGGGCTAATAATAAGTTGAATATCAAAGAAATGCATATATATGTGTGTTAAAAAAACCCAAAAAAACCCAAATCATTTCTCAATTTTCAAAAATCCTGACTTTGACTATTGATAAAAGTGTGATTTTTCATGTGATCTGAAAATTTCCAAGTTGTATTGGTCAATACTTGTCTAAAGTATGCCCGTACCAGATTTCAATACGTTAGAACAATCACAACAAAAGTTCTAGCATTTGTCCTTCTCATACTAAATGCAGTCTTCTGTCACAAATGGGTGAAAGAGCAACGTAAATGTGTCATTTACGTGCACTTGCTGTTTGTGCTTCTCACCCTGTCCAGCTCTCTCAGACGAGGATAGTTGTTCTTCCATTCTGTCTCCAGGTTGAAGCGAGATGCTGGGATGAGGAGGGACAGTGAAAATTAATATATGATTTATATACACCTTATCAACAGCAGAATGAACAATCGCTAACTTTACATTTTACGTAAGTCAAGTTATAATTGGATGTCAATGGTTTCATCATCTTTAAAGCCTTCTACTTAACCAGCCCCCTTAAATTTTTAAAATAAATCCACCTTAATATGTGTCATTAGCATGTGCTCATTCTCATGCCTGGACGAAACTCATCTCCTTTGATGTTACGCTCCATTAAATAGTAATTCTCTACAGTCAACAGGCAACGAGCATACAGGCACAGGGCTGCTTTGTTTAAACCTGGTATGATATAAAGGCAGCTTTCAGACTGCAAATGGTGCCTATCCTTTAATAAAAGCTGCTGCGCACTTTGCACACTCACTTTGTTAACTGGTCCCTTAGGAGGAGAGGGGACGGGGCCCAATCACACACACTTTATCAAAAGTCAGAGTTTTAGTTCTTATGTATGTGCACAGAGACAGAGGGAGACACACGCACACGCACACACACAAACACACACCAAGCCCGCTGTCCCTTTTCACAGCTCCCTATCCACTGTGGAGATTAGGCTAATTGCTGGTTTGTGGGGCCATGCTGGCGCCAAGCATGGAGGATAGAGGCCGGCTGTGTGTGATTTGATGGGATATGGATCGATACACCACACAATAGGCCTATGGGAGCTGCAGTCTCATGGCCATAAATCTCCTGTGCTGTTAGCAATGGGCTTGAGATTGTCTAGACTAATTGCAGTTGGAAGGCAGGGCTGAGAGAGTGGAAAAGTGTGGCAGGGTGGGCTGAGGAAGGCCAATACAGGGAGGTGGGAGAGCAGAGGAGGAGTAGTAGCACCTGTTCCCTGTACAGTTAATGGATAAAATCCAACCATGTCCACTCACACAATTAACTAGGACTGTAAAAGCCACTGGATATAAACATTCACGCAATGGCATGAATAACAAGGCATATAAATCAGTCAGCCCTCCCTGGGATAAAGGTTCGTCCTGTGAGTGCATTCATACCTTTAAAGACATCAGCCTGCTGCTCAACAGACTCCCTGACCATCTTCCAGAAGCAGTCAGAGACGGCCAGACTCAAGTTCTTTGTGGTCACCTGGTGGTGCTTCAGCATGCCGTCCCTAGTTGCACACATACGTTCATTGTCAGCTTAAATTGAAAACATTTGATGAATCATTACTGTTTAGTGAGTCATAAGTAACCTGCCTTAGTAATCTGGAGTTCTGGAAGAAGTCTTCCTCGTAGTCTTTAATGGAGTCTATGCTTTCACCACTGCTCCCTGCACACAAGACGACAGCACAGTGACAACTCAGTTAATCCTGAATTTCAAACACAAAAATAATAATATCTAAATGTATGTAATCACAGTACGAAAGCTACATAATTCAGGTTATACAGGGCAAAAACTTCCCTACAAAGAAATGTATGCAAACAACAATATGTTAGAAAAGCCACAGAGAGCCTCCAATTACCTCCACAGTTACCACAGTTAGTGTCATTAAACTGAGTTAGTGGATTCAGGCGTGATCACTACCCGGAGGCATTCATTAAATAATGTGAAATGCAACATGATGGATCACTCAGTAGAAGATGTTACCTTTTCCGGTCACCACTGCAAAGTAGCCCAGGGCCTTCATGGGAAACAGTTTTCCTTCGACTATTTGCTGGATCTGAAAGAGCACATGTACAGCACAGGACACACATCAGTCCACTCTGTTGTGCACGCTTGCATAACACTGGCTCACTGAGAGACCATCAAGTTAATTCAAAAGTGCTGAGCTCCCTCCTGTGGTGAAGCTGCATATAGCTTCACTCACAGTGGCTGAGACTTTACCCACTGGTTTGCAACTGTTCTGAAATCTGCAGCTGTTTCAATAATTAAATTCAGAGTCTGTGCTCACTATTTCCATGTTCTTGATGCCATTCAACGACAGATGATAATAATTATGACTGATTTTATTACTTTAAAGAACTGAACTCAGCAATTCTGTGGACAGATTCATGCTTTTGTTACAGTAACTGTGATGAAATAAGTGAATATGTGCCGAGGCATTAATAGTCAGTATAGTTCCTTACATATTAATTACCACTGTTCTGGATTTTTGGGATAGTTAATCCATCTTACTCTGCTCGGGCTGGCCAGGTTCTTCTCAGCCAAGTCCACCTTGGTCAGGACAAAGATGGTCCTCTTCCCCTGGGGGTCCATCTGGCTCACCAAGTCTGTGACAATGCTCCTCTCTGCATCCACACTGCCATCTGGAGGGAGACAAGGAGAGCACAAGGGATATGATAATGGTGTACATATCATTACAAGGAGAGTAAAGAGTATGACAGATGATCTCCCTGTTTGTTAATTAACAGAACTGATGCCTTTATATGATTGCTGCAACTGTAATTAGTGTACTCATGGCTCACCCTGAATACAGAGGATGATTGCATTGGGGTTCTGCATGTAGGCCTTGCTGATGCTGAAGATGGTTTCCTTAGTATCTGTTGCCATGCCTGTAGTCACAGTCTGAGAGAGACACACATTAAAAAATTAAAATGTATTACTGTATTTGTTAAAGATAAGTTTGGTCTATTGGCTTTGATTTTACGAAGCTTAACAGTCCAAGAAATTTGCAAATATTCCCACCTTTATTAAATCAAAAATGTATACTCACACTGATGACTCCTGGTAAATCAACAAGCACCATCCTCTGGATGCCGGGGCCTTTGACACTCAGGGATATTGTCTGACATGCAAAAAATAAACATTGTTATTTCAAATCAGCAAGTGGCAGCGTTGTTAGCAATGTGAACGGTAGCCGTATGTCCAACCTCACTGCTGACGGTCTGTCCCTCCTTCACACTCTTCCTCATCCTCAGCTCAATCTCACGCCTCAGTGCAGCCAGCTGTAAGACGGTGGAAGCAACGCCAGATATGATGGTGTAAACAGATTTAAGAAGCGCTAAAATTCATATTGGGTGGATGGAGTGAGTGACATTGTGACTTACATCCTCCTCCTTGGTAAGGTCAAACTCTCGGCCACTGTCCTTAAACAAGGCCACATGGTGGGGGCCTTCGCTTAGTGTTACCTGCAGATGGAAGATTGTTTAAATATTTTCCTCTCACAAAACATTATTCCTTTATAATCACTTCTGCCTCCCAATTGCTGTCAAAGCTGTCATTTCATTATCTTTTTTTTGTCCTTTAAAAGGAAACATTACACAAACATCAGGCAGTGTGGTCCCACATACCTTGACAGGAGAGCGGGTCATCATCTCTCCTGAGCCCCTGGGGAAGATCCTGGCCTGGGCTATCATCTCCAGCACACTCGTCTTTCCAGCACTCTGATCCCCGACCACAACCACCTGAAAGAGAAGAGGAGGAAATGTATAAGGGTCAGGACACAATACAGATAAAAGGACAGAGGGCAGAAGAGCCATGGGGACAAAGCATAAAAGGAAACAGGAGGTATTATGTGATCAGGATCCAGTCGAGGACTAAACAAGTTTATAGATGTTGGTGTTGAGCGGAATTATTCAAAGATACAAATTCTAGGACAAAAAATAAACGGCAAAACATTTTGAAAAAACCCAGTAAGAACATCTGACTGTCGCTTACCCTGGGTAGGTGGTCCTGGGTGTTGTAGTTGGCATCGTAGTCAGACAAGATGTCCAGCACTTCAGAATACAAGTCAATGAGGGATTTCTACATGAGGGGACACAGCAGCAATAAATATTAACAATACGTATATTTACATTGTAATTAGTTGACACACTATCCAGAGTGACAATGACATAACTACAGGAAAGACTTCAAGAAAGTAGCTCTGTATCTGTAGAATCTGAGCCTCACTGGGAGAAACTCAAAATTATGTTGTGTGTATCGCCATGTTTATTGTGTGTATGGGTTCATATATGCCACCCACCTTCACTTTCCTTTGATGAATCCCTTTATCGTCTTTTTGCAGCACCACCTTCCTTAACTCTTTATTCTCCTTCTCCAGTCTCTCCAGCATCCGTTGATATTTTAGCTGTGGGATAAACAGCAACCTGCTTCAGTCACATTTACATCTAAAAGGAACATTTTAGTCCAAACTTGGTGGCAGTGTTTGATCTACAGTCATGGTGCAGTGAGAAACGGTATATTACGAACAAGTCTGCAGTTTAACAACCTATTTGACCAGCTGTCAATGTTATATCACTGTGAAATAAGACATACTGTATTTAAAAATGTTGCAAAATAAAAGCTCTTTAATCAGATCTGGATGAGTTGCATGATACTGCTAACATTCCTCTGTTCCACTAAAATAGATTTTATCAAAAGTAACAATCTACGGTACCTGTGTACGGAGAAGTTCTTCTTGAAGCTGGTCTATCTTTTCCTTGTCTGATGACTAGAGGTTGAAATAGAAACAGAACAGCAACAAATTGAGTTAATGTTTTCTTTCAGTTTCTAAAATAAGGGCTTCCCGTTTCTCTCACTGTGCAACCTCACAAGCACGAAATCCCACCAGCACCACGAAGGTTCAATACGTGCACACTGTATTACAGAGAGAACCAGAGTTGAGTCACATTAATGCATAAAGAGAGGAACCAAGATCAAGTTTCAGGCAGACACTACTCATTCTGGTATTACTCCGCTCCAATCAACAAGCTATGATTCACAGACAGGCACAAATCAGAGTGAGCCCTGAAAAATACAGCTGAAATTAATCACAAAATCATTCAGTCATTACAGCTTGATTTTTCATGATTGGGCAAACCTCATTTGTTAATATATTTTGAAGATGTTTGTCAGGATGAGAGACAGGACAGAAAGCAGGAGACACAGCATACATGAACAAATGGGATTGCCAGCAGAGGAAAGGGAATTTAACAAAACACACAAAACTATTCTATCAAAAACTATGTCTACACTATACAACAAGAAGTGTGCTGTAAATTACCTCTAACAATATGCGCCCACTCTACTAAAATGTTTTACATTTCCATTAACAAACATTTAGGCACTGCAAAACTGCTTGTTAGCTTAAGGCCTCCTTGCTGTTGAGAGCATACAGTAGTCAACTCTATTATACAGCTGGGTCCATTCATGGTAGCTTCAAAATGCAGCTCACACCATGCAGCTGATTGCCACTTCACTCCATGCAGTGTTTCGTTCATTAATGGCGTACTACTGATGATAATCCATCCATTTGCATGAGCTGAGCTACGACACTGTGCACCTGGAACCAGGATACCATGCCTTCCCCACAACCGAAGCTTAGCCTGACAGACTATGGGGTGACACATGGAGGCTACTGTTGGGTATACTGGGTAGGGAACAGTCTTAAGTGTTGACAAGCCAATTTGTCTGCACTATAAATATTATAATATGATCTTAAAAAGTTATTTTATACTGCTATATAGAGTTGCAGTGGCTTAAAGTAGAGGGCTAGACACAAACACCTGAAAAACATGGTGCCATCCAATGCAACAGCAATGCAATAAATAGGTTTAGCCAGAGAGGAGTTGTTTGGTTTTATAGTGGTGGTTGTACTTTGTTGCACTCTATTTTAAGATGTTGCTGTCTATGTGGTCGGCATAACAAACACTGCATTTATTGCATGGCCACAGCACTGGAGTGTATTATTGTGTTAATGAATTATTTTGCAGCTGTTCATGTTGTTGTGTCTACCATGCCCCGGATATTAGGAAATAACACAAAGCACTGCTTGTAAAATTTGGATCATCAATCTTTCTGTTAAATCTTTTTATATAAATGCTCAACTTGCCAGCTCTATTCTCATAAATAAGGTCAGTTAAAGAGCAACTTAACATCAGCTGAAAATCTTGTTTTTGCTGCCCTCCAGTGGTGTAACTTCTCACCTCACTGCAGTGATGTTGCAGTGTAAACTAAAGTACACCAGTGCTCTGACATCTGAGCATGTCCAGCCACACAAATCATTGATGCTGGCCGTGGTTAGAGGTGCAAAAGACTTGAAACTTCTTACCACAGAGGGCAGTGAAACACTGCTTTCAGCCTGGTGTTAAATGACTATTATCTGACAAGGCAGCTGGTAGAAATTGAATTATATATACTGTTTCTTCCCTGCAGCTGCGTCAATTTAGGAGACTTTGGTGGGACAGGGCGATCTAAGTGGGGTTGGACCTTCACCTTGCGTTTCTGTTGAGGGGGGCTCGGGTTCGGAGGCGGACTGGGAGCAGGCTCTGGCGGTGGGGGACGCGCGCTATTGGCTGCCGCGGCCCGCCGGACCTCCTCCTCGTGCCGCTGGATCTGCTGCTGAATAAGAATGAGCTCGCCGAGCAGACCCTGCTGGGGGTATGTCATAATCAGAGACAGGTAGGAGCAGCAACAAAGACATCAACCAGCCACTGGGCTCAGCCACACAGGCCAATGCTGCATCCATTCACAGAGCTTCAACAGAGGACACTTGGCCTGTGTCAGACACTGGCATTGGTGCTAATCAGGCTGGAGAGTGAGGATTCATTCGAGGCTTGAGTTTAACAGAATCAAGGTGTTTGGCTTTGTTAATCTCGCCACTGTCATCAGTGCTACCCAACAAAGTCAGTCTCTCTCAAACATAAAGGGGAGATGCCAAACTTTGCCAGACTGAAGGCAGAGGAGGTGACTAATACCACAACCAGCACCTCTCAGCATGTGGCAACAACAATGACTCAGCTCTTTCCTCACCATCATGCACCATCGTGGAACAATGACTGTGTGTTCACCAGACAACAGTAGAACAGATTTTCATTGTTGAATTTAGCACTAGCGAAAACAGAGTGGAAATACAGGTTTTACTATAAAGGTAAAACAATAACCAAGATAAGATGACACTGTTTTAATGTGCTGCAAGATAATGATGCTAGGTGGTTCTGGACATCATCGGTCTGATGATGCTGAAGATGATGATGATTAAAATAAGCTCAGCCAGCATTGGGATACAGCTCTAATCAGGGGCGAAGCAGAAAGCATGGTGTACAGCAGGAGAAATCTGCTTTAATTCAAAGGTCCCCAACATGACTTTATTTAACTTTATGATTTGTTTGGTTTTTTTCTCCTCTGTGAAATGCACATACAAAAATTTGAAGCACAACGCCAACTTGTAAGAGTTGTGTTGTCTTTTAAGCTCATGTTGGAGACCACGATTGCAGATTAAAAGCAGGGCATAGGAGAGGAAAGCCCAACATCACTGTTTTTTTAAATGTATCTCTTCTTAATATTTGTTATCAGACCTTCACAATCTTGACATTGTTTAAGTTTTGATTCTGCACAGTGATAAAAACACATAAAAAACACAACAATGGAACAGAGAGACACTGAAACTGTGCAGAAAAGAACAAAATGAAAAAGAAACAGAGAGGACAACAGCAATAAAACAGATGTGCACATCAAGTGTTCTGCCAGAGACTGCCGAAGCTAGAGAGATGAATGATCATTCTGGAGCTGCTGAGATGCATGGCAACTATAATGGCACTTTTGAAGAAATGATCCATTTCAGTGCATAAAATTTCAGAATAAGTGTCATACAATATGCACATGGTAACAATGAAACATTATATATGCTAAATCACAGCTAATGTCATTAAATAGGAAGAGCTATGTCTTTCCATAACACTGTCACATGGTCTAAAAAGCGTGTCTTGATTATACTGTAGTTTGTCAAACTAACAAATCACTTTCAGATGAACTGATTGAATCAAAACACAGTCAAAATGATTGGATGTACCAGTATGAGTGCATTAGTTCATATAACTAGGGCTTTGTAAGCATCTTTTAACAGCTTATGTGACGGACATGGTCTTTAAATTCTCCCTGGTGCCTCAGGGCCCATAAAAGCTTCAACAATACAAACTCATATAAACTCTGAGTACATTTTGATTCAATCCACCACAGTTCTTGCCACTGAAGTGAAACATAGCCAGGCTGCAGAGGGAAGCTGAGTGAAATCGAGCTGTGGTAGAGTACAGAGGACAAAGGTAAGAAGTGTCAACAGGCTTTGCAAACTTGCCTTTTTGTACTGCTTGTCGCTGCCATCTTGTGTGGCTGCAGCAGAGGAGTCTGTGGCTTTTAGTGGAGGATCGCCTGAGGTTTCTACCAGTGGAGACACAACGACACAGAGTGAGGTTACTTGTGTGAATGCATCTTGACAATTGAGTGCTGAATGTAAACAAGCTGAGGGAGACAATAATGCCCATAGCCAAGAGGTGCCAGATAGCCATCATTTAAAGCATGCATATCATTAGAGAAATAGAGACCAGAGTGATAACATTTCAAATGCTTGGAAAAGCTTGCACTGATATACACATATATAACATGTGCTTTACATGCTATAATTTGGGGTTTTAATTTTGCATTGATCACAGTTCACCAAAAATTGAAAAACTGCCAAACTTCTTTCAACAGCAGGAATAAAGCGGTCTAATCGGGATCATGAAATGTTTGTGACTACTGATTTATTGATCTAGTAATTGACTTTATTTGCAGTGACTGTAATGTGTTTTTTTTAAATAAACTGCGGTAATGGTGGAAGCCACACCAAAAATTAAAATTGTTTAAGAATGGCATTGTTAGTTTTTATGTAATTAATTCCAGCAGGATTAAAAATTATCTTTAAAACATTAAGTACACTTGGAGTTCGTCAAGCAGCTGTAAAAATATGCAATAAAGCTTTCTGAAACCTAGTTAGAAAGTTTCATTTGTGTATATGGTTGGACATGGTTTACTGATTTTACTTGGTGAAATAAAAGAACCCTGACGATGACATGGAGCTCAAAGAAGACTATCACTGAATGCTGAAAGAAAAAACAATTAAGATTTAGTATCTTTAAAACAAAGTTACATTTTAATGATGTGAGGTAACATGCTGTTATTGCCATGCGCAAAGCAAAGTCTGCTTAGCCATATATATATGAGGTAGATGTTCACAAAAACACCACACTGTAATGTGATGTGCAAAGGCAGATATCACATCTACGTACATTAAATGTAATGAACTTGAAACAGTCATGGAAAACATTTTTTCTTAATCCATGAAAGGGTGTGACGTTGAAACCTAAAGAGGCAGGAACACGCCTTTGCGGATTCTATGACTCACAAGAGAGGTGTGGTCCCATCTGGCCTCGTATAAATGACTTTGAAAGATACAGTCTTTCCATACACCGTACATGACCTTTAATACATTTCAGGGTTATGCAATTGTTATTATTTACCAGTATTTGCCCTCACTGAAGAAGACAAAAATTTAGTGAACATTAACATATGTCAGCATCTTGACATATTAAAACCTCAATGTATGTTCTATATAAAATGTATTTTGTGTGCATTTTCCAAACATTTGAGTGTAATTAACTAGAAGCAGACTAAAATCACCCATCGGTTAGTGAATGCCAGTGTAGTTAAAGAAAGCAGCCCACACAGGCCAGGGGAGAGAGAGGGTGGAAGTCAAAGGAGGCAAAAACCACACAGGTAGGACAAAGTAAAGCCAAGGACAGTCGGGTTAAAGAGAGTCAAAAGGGAAGACGGGGACATACTAAAGGAAAAAACACTGGATCTGCATTTAGGAGCTTTTCAGACCAGGAAAAACAAAGCCACGGCAGGTTTGTGCCACTATTAAACACGTTTGTTTTACTGCACTTGACACAAAAGAGGTTCTCTGAGGAATTTAGAAAAATTCAGAAATAAGGAGAGAAACTTAAAGAGTAAGGCTTTTACTGGGTCCATTAGACAGAAGTCACAGGGTAAAATTTAATATCTGCATAACTAAGCATACTCCTCTGAACACCCAGTCCAAGATGAAACTGATTCACCATCCTAGTGAAACGTCATACACTTCACTGAATACAGAACCTGCATTGACCATGAACACTGCTATTGTTGACGGCAGCACTGGTCTGCAACCTGGAAGCCACCGTCCTGGGGAAGATGCTCTGCTACCGCCTTCAGAGCCCAACTTTGGCAAGCAGGAACCCACAACCATACCAAATACTGTGGCAGGGGGATGGTCAAACAGCAGCAGAGAGAAAGGAGGGGCAGCGCTACTGAGTGCAGGGTTTACACACCTAACAACAGATGCAGACCAGAAGCTCCTTTGACTTCACTACCCAAACTCACACCTGTGAAGAATGTGGAGGAGGACAGGAGGGTTGGGGAGGAGGAGAAAGGAAGAATAACACAAGATAATAAAAATCATAAAAGACAGAAGCAGAGGGATGGTGGTCAAAGCAGGGACACGGCTAAATGATGTGTATTAAAACAAAGCCACTGCTGTGCTGGAGCTTCAAGTGAAGCAGCCACTTAATGAGAAACTGTTAAGAGATAAGCACACACCAAACTGGGCCTGAAAGAGCTCAAAGAGTCAGATTTTATAATTACCAGCCAATCTAGAGGTTACTCTATTTAAAGACAATTACTCTACTGGGTAGTGATTTATAGGAGGAAAAAGATTTCTTTGTCAGTGCTGCATTATGACAAAACACCATCACTTCCTTTCACTCATGACTTGATGGAATAAATCTTTTGATAATGTTTGATTCAAAGACTCCTGGACGAAAGACTTCACAGGTTATCAGAAGACTTTTAAGGATTTTTGAGGTCCTTTTTTAAGAATTCTTAAAGGGAAACCTGAGTATTTTTCAACCTGGACCATATTTTCCCATATTTCTGTGTCTGCATGATGAATGGTGACATTTTTTAAAACTGGTCTAGTATTGAGAGAGACAGTGCCAGAGGCAACAGCAAAATAGGCTGCAATGTAATCCCTACGAGCAACGAGCGCTGTGCTTGTTTTTGTCACTGACAGGCTCAGATTGTTAAAAGAAGTGTTTGACAAAATTGCGGAAAGGACCCTACAGAAAATGAAACCTTTTTTCCTATCCTTCTGTTGGTGATTTTGTGATTGTGACCAAGTCTTACTTAAGGAGATGTCCCGTTCTGAGATCTTGAGAGCGTGACTTGTCACAGGAAAAACAACGGTAGATACGTTAGCGAGTGTTGGAAAGAGAAGTGTCAGGATAAGGGGCCATACACGTACTGTGTTTTTTGCACCCTCAAATTCACTGTTTCAAATGTAGACATGCCGCAGGCGTAGTCAAGTGCCAGAGCAACACCGTCGGGTGCACAAGTGTTTCTGAGCACCCATTTTTCAGAGCACGACGGCTGCACTCTGAGATAAACCGAGCTCAACTTTTGGAATGCAGCACCACACACTGCATGTCATGTTACAAGGAACAACCAATCACAGCCGACAGATATCTTTCCCTTCTTACATAAATCAGTCTGTGGTAAATATGAAAAAGTTGATCATTTTGGTGCAGGGCTGCCAGAGCTTTAAATCTGTCCCACGGACGATAGGCCTACACACATTTAGATAGCACCTGGAAGAAGATCAGCCTTGCACTCAGGATTTCAGGTAAATATCAATAATAAATTATAAATTATTTGATACAGTGCTTGTTAAAGTTGCTCAGCAACCTCATGTGCAACCTGCCGCTGTGCTCTAGGAAGATGGCTCAGAAATAGCACCCAGCACCCGACCTCGTGTTTTCCAGGCAGTTAAAGACACAGCATATGCACAGCCCCAAAGTTTGTTGTATTAGAAGGCCGAGCTTACTGTTATTCCAAAGATTTTCAATGTCATGGTTGAACGTGTGGCTGAGTCAACAATGGCCATGAGATTTTAGAACAGTATTTATCCTTGAGCAACACCTGGTTACACACACTAACAAACACACCGGATCAGTGAAATGTAAGGAATACGTCCCAATTCTCTGTGGGGTCTTTTTTGTAATGCTGTCAGACACTTACAGTAAGAATCTGAACCTGTCAGTGGCAAAAACAAGCCAACAAACAAGTGCTTAATGGATGGAAATTGACAGTGCACAATTACATTGCAGTCTGCTTTTCTCTCAATACTGGACCACTTTCCAAAATTGTTGTCTCTATTATTTAGACACATAAATATGGGACAATAGGGTCTGGGTTTGAAAAAAAAAAAAAAAACTCCCAGAAGTTTCCCTTTAACAAGCACACGTATAGGGAACACCAGAGATGCAAACCAGTTGCACATATGCTGAGTAATCTCAAGGAAGTTTCAACTGTAAAGTCATGGTGCAATACAAAGCAATATTTGTGCATTGTGAGGTAATGTTTTTATACACATTAAGTGAAATGATCATAGACACATTTATTTCTATTAATGTATAAATATCTCTTTGACATCAATCAACCCAGGACTGCTCAGCAATGTGCACCTGGTCCCATCTGAATAAATGACTGTTTGCAACACCATGGTACAAGACATGTTTTTAACATTGCCTACAAAACCACTGATCCAATACACACTGGTTATTTGGTGTAAAGGAAGGCTCTTTGTAGCATTATTTAGCAACCACAACCATAGACAGGAGGGCTGTTGCAGAAGAAGAAGCAATTCAGAGCAAGAAGCAGGCTCATATTTTTTCATTATTCTGAATCTATGTTATCTCATTCTGTAAAGGTCACTTTGAGGTGGGAGAAACCACAGATACCATACTTGAAGCAGGTATAGGTATAGGGCACTGACTGAGACCAATGCAGATGTAGAGGACAAGTTTGCACTGCTACAATTACTATGATCTTCATTTTAAAAGTTTATACTGGACTAAACACTGATGCAGTAACTTTACGAGAACACAGCTGAGGTTTTGATCACTCACCAGACGACAGGAGGCTTTTGAGGAAAGTGAAGTTCTCGCCTATCTTGTCGAAGTCAGGTAGTAGTTTGGCTACTTCCTCCATCTCTGGAAGAGCTTTGGCCAGTTTATCTGTGTATAGAAGAGATAATAGGTCAAGTAGAGAAGACAGAAACGCAGAGGCCTTATCTAATGTTCAGCTATGTTTCAAGTATAACCCAAGAATAATTGTCCTCCTTTGAAATAAGGGATCCTTTATAAGAAAGGCAAGGTCAAGTATGAGCACATTAGCTTGGATCACAACATTAAAATTAAAACACTTACCAAGATCAATTTGTTCACTCAGTTCCCAGACAAAATCAGGAATGACCCAGTTGTATTCACTAAAATCAGGCAGCATGTCCTTCCACTCTTCATAGGTCTGGAGATAAAATGACAGGCTTATGTTATCTTTGCATGAGTCAGTTTTACAGCACTGTTTCCAATGAATGCAATCACAGCAGAGGGGAAGCTTCATTAAGCATCCAGGGAAAAGTTGGACAAAACTAAGATAGTTGTTGACTTCTTGCGTTTGCCTCTGTTCATTTTCTGTTTATCGCTAAGCTCATGTGATGAAATACTAACTCTCTAACTCTGCGATGATGAGATACCTGAGAACTTAAAGTCAGAGGCACTTGATACTGACCTTTTTAGCAGTGTATCCTCCTCCCACTGCGGACCCCAGCAGAATGTATCGAAGCCTTAGCAGCCGGGCAGCGAGGCGGGCCACCCAGAAGTTGCGCTGCTGCTGGTGGCCACGGCCCCCTGACCCTGGGGGAGGCTTGGGAGGCCGCATGGGCAACCGTGACATGGAGGTAAAATAGCGGGCTGCCGTGCGATGAGGTGGACGCTGGGGGTTGGTGTTTCCAGAGTAGCGGTGGTGGATGGCACGGGATAGAGGGTGCAGCTTCTGCAGCGGTACCCGAAATCTCACTCCCATGTTGGTGGAGACCAGGTTCCTGCAGGCCACGCTGAGAAGGCAGAAAAATTGAACAATAAATACACAAGCTCGCCTACCTCATGTGCCTATAAACACCTGATTATACACCTATCAGGCAACATCATTTCTTAGAATTTAATTATCCGGGAAATCTTGGGTCCTGGCATTCATGTGCACTTGACACGCTCCACCAATCCAAACGATGTTGCAGAGCAAGTACCACTCCTCTTGGCTACAGCAGTACCCAGTGGCAGTGGCCCCCAGCAGGACAATGCACCATGCCCGAGGAAGGTGACAGGAATGGCCGGAAGAACATGACAAAGACCTAAAGGCGTCCACTTGGCCTCCTAATTCCCCATATCCCAACATGATTGAACATCTGTGGGACATGTTGGTGCCCCACCTTACAACCCACAGGACTCAAAGGATTTGCCGCTACCACCCTGGTGCCAGACATCACAGAACATCCTGCAGAGATCCTGTCTCCATTTCTCGACTGGTCAGAACCAAGTCTCATCCAAGGAGGCCCCATCATGGATCAGGGCTACCTCTGGGGTGCCAGCACATCCCATAAATTCTCAATCAGATTGAGATGTTCGCAAATGAGCTGAAATTGAGCTTTTTGTTACATTCCTGATGGCGGCTTGTCTGGTGTGATAGGATGTCTTTTCCTGCTGGGGGGGCCCAACGGCATTAGGGAGCTCTGTTGTGGGGGTACTTAGTCTGTACAGGTGTTTTGGTGGGTGGAGCACTTTAAGTGGCATCCACATGAATGCCAAGACCCACGGTTTCCCAGCAGAACATTGCATTATGATGCAATGATCAATGTTATTGACTTGGTTTTAATGTTTTGGCTGATACGTGTATAACCTCAGTGGATGCTTCTGGTCATCCCTCTAACTTCATCCCTGATAATGCTGTTACTGACCAGAGAGCGGCATACAAATCTAATTTTAGTCTTAACAGAATATATTAGACCATAAAAAGTGACACTACGTAAATCTAAAGCTTGTATCAGTAATTCCAGTGGTTGCTAGTCACACTAGCAGTAGCTGTAGCCGTAGTGGGATCAGCCAGGGTTAGAAATCAGCACCAACCACCAGCCAAATGTGGGTAAAATATGCAAGTGGCTGCTAGCTTAGCTTCACTCATCAGCTATAGAAACATAGGTTATCAGGTGGGCTGTCAGGTTTTGAAATCCACAGTAGCAGGTGGACAAAAAAGTTAATTCCCAACCCTGAGTAGAGTCAAGATTGTGTAAGTCAAACAAATGTCTTCATTTCCAGCCTGTGACTCCATCATCATGGAAGGCCTTTGAGCCAGCCTATGAGATACTGTACAGAGAGTAGCTGATAGCTAAGGGTAATAAAATACGTAGCTAAATTATTGTTGCTAGGGTATAAGCCTGTCATACTGTACCACATTTTAGATTCTAGTGTGTGTGTAGTGTGTTTTTAGTACAAGGTACGGCAACATAAAGCTGTACCATGCTACATTCAAATGCAGTCTGTAAACAAATCCATCGTGTTTACGGTAACGTTACATTACTATCATGTGTTTAGCTAAGCAAACACTATATATATATTTCTGATTCATCTTACGGCCTACTATTTGATAACATACAGTATGCCAGCTCAAATAACAAAGGTCTGTAAGTTAGGTCAGACTGTAGGATAAACCAAATTCTCCAGAAAAACACGGTACAGCTAGCTAAACACATTAACGTTACCTAGCTAATGTTAAAGTAACGTCAAAATCAAACATAGCGGCACAGGTCGCTTTGAAGCTAAAGATAAATGTCGGTGGCAGTTTGTGAAGACGTTAATTAGCATATCGTTAGCTAACGTCATATTAATGTGTTTGGTTTTTACTGGGAAGACGGCTATTTACACGAAGCAGGTAGCTAGCTTCGCTGCCCTCAGCTGTCAAAATGACCAGCTAGCTATGTGTGCTTTCTGTCTACCACGGCTAACACAGCTAGCTTCTGCTACCGTTACCTTCATTAAATGGGAACTTACCAGGCAGCTTTACTCCCGACACGCAACATGGCGCCGTTATCAACAGCGGGTTAACACTAATCTCTTTCAAAATGTCTCTTTAAGCACGGTTTGATTCATCTTTCCAAAAGGAACACATTTGCTCGCCTATTGTGGCAGCTAACTAGCTCGTTAGCTAACAAGGACACAGCCAGAGTGACAGTCCACTTCCTGTGAATGGTACTACTGTCAAATGAGCACTGGCAGAAAACACAGCAGTGAAGTAGTTCCTATGTGAAGGAGGATTGAAGGCTTTAATTTGACTGAACTAAGTGTACCAAAAAATACAGAATTTAGTTTTAGATTTGTATTTTTGGGAAATCGCTTTGTAAAATAAGTTGCCTGGGCCAGTGGGATGATAATGTATATGTGATACAGGCAATATGTCATAATCATATTGATGCCTTCATCAAACAAGCAACAACTAGACATATGTTGCACATATTGTATATATTTCTTATTCTTGTTCCTACTTATGAATATATTGTGTTGTACACTGTAGCATTATACACATATTTTGTATTTCTAACTTTAAATACCAGTTTTATACATTGTATTGTAACATAAGGCACTTTTTTACACTCTTTACACACTCAGCACATATAGTTTTAATTGATTTACATAGTAGTGTTAGCACTGTAGAACACTACAAATGTTTTATTTTTATATTTTTTTTACATACTTCATTCTTACAATTCTTATTTCTTCTTCTATAACCCTCTATGCTTTACATCCTATGTAAGAAACCACAATTTCCCCCTGGAATCAATTAAGTGTTTCTGATTCTGATGCTGATTCTGGACAGTGTTTGCTACAAGATGCAAAAGTGATAAAGACTTGCTCTATCACCCAAGCTTTAATTTTGTAAGATCAGAATGGTATGAATTGTAAGTAATTCCCTCAACCAAAAGTGCACATATATCAAAAGTAGACACCATTTTAAGGGCTACCTGTTAGTTGGGACATTTACATAGGCAATACTATCAACATGGCTGACAGAGATGTCATTTGAATAAACAGGTGCAGCTTGGACTTGTTAAGGACAAAGTACAATTGAGATTAAGTTGATGACTGAGAGACTGCAGATATATAAAACCGGTAGCTTGAAGGCCCTCTGCCAGAAAAAATTGAGCATTAACCATTCATTTTCTGCATTTTGGTGATTTGTTCTGCATCAATATATAGTGTAATTTTTTCAGTACAAGTGCTATGCTACTTTCAAGATTGTATTTGTGGGGACAAATGCACATATTCTACATACTGACAGGCACATGTCTCATGCACCCCCCCTGAAATCTACACCTATGCATGCAGATCTAAGTGCTCAGTGAATAGGCAAGGTTTTGCATGTCTCACAGAAGGGTCTAGAAGTCAACACATGTAAGATTTGTAGCTGTGAAACTTTCTCTCTAGTCTCACTTAAAAAATAATTACAGAAAATCCAGTTGCTGCAGCTGTTCACCTGCCTCCCGATATATACACAGGACTTTACATTAGCTACATTTGTGGATTTTAGGTTGAGTGACTACACCAGCGAGGTGGAACTTTTACAAGACTGAAGCTGTGTTATGTACCTGTATGTTCAAATTTCTTATATCAGACTGCATGAAAATGGTTTCAAAAGCTCTGCTTAATGAGATTTCTGAATTTCAGGGATTAATATATGTAACCTCAGCAGCCCTCAGTATCCAACTATCCAGTATGTGCTGCTCAGTTATTCACATCTAGGTGATCCCGGTCAACTTGTTCAGTCAGTGAATATCTTGTGATTAAATCATATTAACCAGGTACTGCACTTAATATGCATTGTAAACAGGTAAACTCAACTCTACTTAATCTGCTGCAGCTTCCGTAGCTTCATGGTATCCCACACATACACAACGAAAATAAATAACTCACAGATGTGCCATTTTGAGAACATTTATTGAAAAGAAAGAAATCAAGATAAATCTGAAATACAATCCTTAGGGAGAAAGAAATGAAAATAAATAAAAAATAAATTATAAAGTACAAAAATTTAAAAAAAAAAAAAAAAAAAAAAAAAAGTACATCTCTGCCAATAAAAACAAAAAATATATCCCACATTGGCCTCTTGCTGAGGTGTAGGAGCTGCAAATAAAAAGCCCACCAGATAAAGTGTACTGAAGGAGCTGACATACAGTACAGATGGACTGCAATAAAAAGTTTTACCAACACTATATTTTCATTCAGTTTGGGTATCAACTTTTATTATTTTCTGAATTCATTACAAATAGACACATTTCCCTGAGGAAACAACATCCACATGAGGTTTCATTTACTCAGTGGCTGACTCGATCTAAATGCCATTCTATAGTTTGTTTAAAATACATGATGTGAATAAGAGGCCAATGATAACTGTCAAAAGTCGGTATATGTTGTACCTGTATAAGAGCATAGAGGTTTCAGCATAAAAGCCATTGCTTTGACATAGCTGTGTCAGGTTAAAGGCAAAACTGTAGCGTAGAAGACAAGCAATAGTAGTATTTACACTTTGCATGTCATTGAGTTGATTCATTTTCTGTATCAAGGTGCACAGTTATGACTGAGCTGAGACTGCATCATTTTGCCCCTAGCAGCAATATAGTCGCACTTCTACAACAGACCGCTGATATCGAGCAGCAATGCACATTCTTTTTGCCAATTACATTTTAATTTCACATGGATGTAAATGATCGTTTAAAAAGTTTCAGACAAAGAAAGTAAAATATGTACATCGGATGATCAAATGGAAAAGTAACAAGATTGTCTAATGGTGCTCAGATTCTGGATTCGCTGAGAGGAGGCGCCAAATATACTACACCAGTTGAATTCCCTTCTTGTGTCAAGTCCTTAATATTACACAAAGCATTGAGACAAAAGAAAAGCATAAAAAAAAGCTGAGAGGTCTACTTTAAGAGACAAAATGTTTCCACTCAGGACTCAACTTTCTTCAAAACTCTAAAGTAGACATGTGCTGCGTTGTGTTTACCCCAAAAATAAACAAATTCAATCATACTTCACAATAACTGATTCAATGTGTGAAATAAATGCCCAGGATTCATGCCCAAATAAGATACAAGCTAATGCGACTCCATAGCAAAAGTGAAAGTACAAATAAATCCAACAGACAGTACAAATCAAAAGTAGACAGACAACTGATTGTAACACAGTACCAAAATAGTAGAAAAAGACACATCAGCCCTTTGATAATCCAAAAACCATACATTTTTATAACTAAATCTTTTGACTTTTATGCACACGCTAGAAATGTACATCTCATATATACAGATAGAATCCAACCTCTAATATTATTATCACCTTTTAAAGTCTACGTCTGCCGAGTCAAATCAGATTTGACGAGATAAACACGAGCTAAAATTAAACCTTTCTTCTTTTTTTTTATCTTTTCAAATAACCAACACAGATGTGATGAAAAGTCTTAAAAAGAATCAATAACCATAGTATTGCATTGCATTAATTTTTGTTCTTTACACAACATTCAGTTTTAGCCTCAGTAGCTATCTAGAGAAAATAAAAACAAACCCTGAAAGCAAATATAAAAAGAAGAAATACCGCTGAGTATTCAGAGACGTATAAACCCATGTGGCCCATGTTTTTGACAACATATAATCTATCTGCAAATTGGCACAAAAGTCTATTTGGGCCATGTTTTGCAGTTCTCACCTACAGTACTATAAATCCATCCCACAGAATACTAGTAACCGCCCATCAAATAATATCTCTTCAGACCATTTTCTCATATCACATTTGAGCTCATCATAAAACAGTATGGATCACAGGTATTCATATGCATTTGTAACATTACAAGTATCTCAATAGACAATGGCTTTTAGGAGCTGAGCAACTTCAGACTTGTGATTTTGTTCTACATGAATAAAACCATTACTTATCAATGGACAAGCTGAATGCGATGTCATGAAGTGTCACATGATGCAGTGCTGCAACCAGAGGCTTGATAAATAATTGCTTAATTTTGTCAGGGAGGAGGAGTAATGTTACATTTATTTGAACATTCTGTTGACATTGTGTCCCATATGTGTTTATAAGCAGTCTGACAAAACATTTCGGGGACACACTCTTTGAAATCCTTAATATTGAACCACACAATTTATGAAAGGCAGGCTGCAGGCAGAGTACACAGTTATATTGACATTGAAAACCAGCTGTATGTGTGTTGGTGTCTTTGCTTTAAAGTGATACTCCATCCTAAATCTGTCCTTGAAGGATCAAACACTGTCTCTGGTGGCTGTTAAAAGTTTGTCTTCTTCTTGCAACGACTGTGGTCAGCTTGAATTTAATCAATTCAGCAGTAGATGCTGTTGGATACAAGACAAGCTTGACAAAAAGGAAAAAGTGATGCTGGTTCTGTTTAGCAGGGTGCTGCAGCGTATATCAAGAAAGTTTCTAGGCGTCAGGCAATATATCGTCAAGAAGCCGACAACAAGGACTACAGTATGTGATGGAAGGATATATTCACGATGCTAACTTTTATAAAAAAGGCAATTGAAGTGTCCAGTCTCAACATAACAGGAAGAAGTAGAGACTGAGGACGACAAGACTATCATTCAACATTGCTCCTGCACTCTACGTATTTATCACTGACTTCAGACCTTAGTGCTGACCTAAAGTTGGTCTCTCTTTACAGTAGAAAGTTAGCTACTTGTGGACACAGATGTAGCCTTACAGAGATAATAAAAACAAAGGAACGCTAGCCTCGATTTGGTTAACAATAATTCCTAACTGTCCTGTCCTGACATTGGTGATCTGACATTAGGCTAACTCCTCTTGATGTGGCTATGTGTTAGCTAGCAAACATAGTTAGCTAGCATTTTACCAAGTGTAGCTAATGTAGCTGTGAAGACTATGACCGTCCCTCAGCAACACGATTTAACCATCTTCAAATTGTAGTTTTCTTTTTAACATTTTTAACAAGCACATAGTGTGATGAAGTATAACAGGAAAGGGGTTAAGGTGACCGAGGTTCTGCCGTGTTTTAATCTTGCTCAACTGTTATTAGAGCGCAAAGGGAAAAGAGGCGGGACTTTGAAAGGACCAATTATATTACATGTCTAATGTCCATATCCATCTAATGCATCAAACAATTCCTGAAGTGCAAACTCTGTTTTCTATCCATTCGCTCAGTTTGTCATT